AGGGTTGTAGTTCCTTTTTGGGGTTACCCTATAAGATCCTTAATCTAGAATTGCTTCAACCCAAAAAAAGGAACCTACAATGGAGACTAGAGGAACAGCAGCAAGCACTCACCCAGCGATGCGCCAAAACCATGGCTTCGTGCGGCGGAAGCTCCGGAGAGATGCAATGCTTGGAGGTTCATGGCTAGTTATAAGTGGGGTTATAAGTAGGGCAACTATAAGGGGCTTAGGGGTTTAGGGTTTAGGGTTCAGGGTTTAGGACTTACTTCGAGGTTCATGGGTAGTTATAAGTGGGGTTATAACTGGGGTAACTAGAGGTATAAGCCACTTTAGGGGATCTATAACCCCACTTATAACTACCCATGAACCTCCAAGTAGGTATCGCAAAATCTACCAAGCCGTGACAACAGCCCGGATAAGAGCCCAGAACCCATGTCTTAGAACCCGAATCCGAGACGCTAAGCCCTAAACCGCTGAAGCCCCTAAAGCTTAAGCCATAAACCCTAATCCGAAACCCTAAACCCTAAACCTCTTTTGCCCCTAAACAATAAATCATAAACCCTAATCCGAAACCCTAAACTCTAAACCTCTCAAGCCCCTAACTAAACCCTAAACCATACACCTTAAACCTGTAACCTAAACCCTAAACTCAGCAGCTTTTTTTTACGGTCACAAGCACTTCAAGCCTTTCTTTTGGGGTTCTTCGATGTCTCTCTGAGCTTCAACAGCGTCAGCCTAAATCCTAGAGCCCCTGAGCCGAGGAGATCGAGAAGCCGAATGCTTCCAAGACACCTCCCACGCTGCCTCCAAAGCTGTCATCCACGATCTGGTCGGTGTTTCCGCTCTACAAGGCGGTCTTAGGGGGTTTAGGGTTTAGGGTTTAGGGTTTAGGTTTAAGGCGGTCTTAGGGTTAAGTTTGAAGGTAGGGGCCTGAATAATTAGAATAGGGTTTGGGGAGCCGAAATATTTAAATTATAGTAAGGAACCCCCAAAATAGTAGTGGCAATTACATTAGGGATGTTTGAGGACTATGGCAATGGGTTTAGGGTCTAGGGTTAGGGCTTAGCACCCGAGACTCCTACAGAACAGTGAGAGAAACAGCCCGTAACGAGCCAAAACCCCCAACCCCATACCCTAAACCCCCTATAATGTCCCTTTACCCATCTATGCCCTAAAGCCCTTAAGTAGAAACCTATACCCATCTTTGCCCTAAGCCCCTGATAAACCCTGCACTTAAACGCTCAAGCCAAGTCCTCGAGCTCCCCAGAGACTCCAAAACCCCATAATTAAGGAATATACCTTAAACTATGACAGGAATCCTAATATGATTTAAGGTGTATTCCTTAATTAAGGGGTTTTGGAGCTCGAGCTCGTTCGGAGGATGTCCTCGATCGCAGCGTTCCCGCCCACTCGCAGGCCCCTTGGCTCCATGGAAAGCCACATGTACTACAGAAGCCTGAATAGCTAGTACTACTGTTCCTTAAGGATCCTTGGGGTTCTTCTTTATGGGAAAATAACTATGGTATACTGTGCCCTAAACCCTTTTCGAAGCATGAAGACCCCGACAGTGCTTCGAAATATATCCACCTTGATTTTGAATCTGAGTTAGGTCTTGGAAAGGGGGTAGGCTGCAGGGATGTGCACATGGGAGCAACAAGTACTCAATAATCAGGTTCCGGGGTGTAGGGTAGTGGCGCTTGCAGCTTGGCAGTCAAGGTGGATAGATAGATTTCATGGATAGATAGATAAATAGATATGGATAGAGACAGATAGAGATAGATAGATAGATAGATAGATAGGTAGATAGAAAGATCGACAGAGATAGATAGAGATAGATAGAGATAGGATAGGTAGAGGTAGATAGAGGTAGATAGAGATTGGGAGATAGAGAGATAAAGAGACAGAGAGATAGAAATATGCATAAATCGACATGATTGGTAGATAGATAGATAGATAGATAGATAGACAGATAGACAGGTAGATAGGTAGATCGCTTGACAGATAGATGGACAGATAGATAGATCGATTCTTGAAGATAGCTCGCTACACACACACACACACACACATATATATATATATATATATGCACACACACGCCGTGTTCCGAACCGTAGGCTAAACTCAGGAAGTCTACTTCAAGTACCACCCTGGTGTTGGCCTCGCTACGCCACTCATGTTCCTCATCCAGCAGCTTGGCACCATGTCCACGCAGATGGGTTTAGGGTGTAGGTTTTAGGGTTTAGGGTTTAGGGTGAATTAGAGCAGAGGTGGCATGCTTCTTTTTGGTGGTCTGTCGGTGAATCAGTCTGTCCGTCGGTCGGTCTGCCTGACTGTCTGTCTGTCCGTCGGTAGGTCGGTCGGTCTGTCTGGCTGACTTGACACAGTGAACGCGAGTTTGCTCAGGAGTGGGGACTCACCGAGCGTGGCATGGTTCTTGGAGGAGTCTTTCGGCTGCAGAGCCCCCTGAACCTTCTAGAATCTCTTATGAAGGAATCGATTCAAGAGCCATTGTGGGCAAAAGGAACCCTTTAAAGGAACCTGTGTGGGCCTAAAGTTTAGGGCTTTCGGGTTTGTAAGGCATCAGGTGACGTTGCCCACATCTTCCTGGTCTAATACATACAGAAATTGAGCAACTCCAGTGGCTCTGTGCGAGACGCGCACCTGCAGCCCGAGTGTTGTGGCCAAGACTGTGAAGGGACCGCCGCAGCGCTTGCACTTCTGGGATTCGTATCAGGCTTTGGGTTTAGTTTAGGGTTTAGGGTTCAGGATGGGTTTACCCATAGGTCCCATAGTAGTTACTTTTTTGGGATTTCCTAACAGGATCCTGAATATAAGCCACAAGAAGGAACTACTATCCTCCCGGTTGAGGCATGAATGCCTCTAGAAAAGGATGTGCTTAGACTGGTGTAGACCAAATATTCAACTACCTTGATGCTTGTCTGTGTCCGGGCAACCCTGATGGGTGTAAGCACAATACTTAAACCCCTAAACCCACAGAGACCCTAAAACCCTGAACCCTTCACCCGAAGAAACCCTAACCCTAAGCTTAAACCCAAAGAAGCCCCAGAGACTCTGCACCTTAAACGCCCCTTTTACTCATAAGGGATCCCTTCAAAAAGGAGCTCTATAAACTAAAACTGCCAACATCAGCCACACGAGAATACTCCCAAAACCCTGTTCCAAGGACTAGGCTCGCTTCTTATACCCGGAAAGGCAGTCGGTAGAGGCGAAGCCCTAAACCCTCAAGCCCTGAACCCTGAAGCCCAAACCCTGGAACTCAAATCCTAAACCCTGAAGCCCTAACCCTAAAACCCAACCCTGAAGCCCAAACCCTAAAACCCAAGCCCTCAACCCTGAACCTTTTTCATTCCGGCCCTTATAGATTCACGCCTGCAGGCTAACGAAAAGAGGCAATCTGGAGGCGGGCGGTCCCAAAAATCTACCTCGACCTTGCAATGTAGTGTTTAGGGTTTAGCGTGTTGGTTTAGGGTCCCGAAACCCTTATACCGTCTAGGGTTTAGAGTGTTGGTTTAGGGTTGACATGGAAGATCTAGGCTTTAGGCTTTCAGGTCCTTTGGTTCGTGCAAGTATCGGATCCTGGCCATAATTTAGGTGATTCTAGGGGGTTTGGGGTTTATGGCTGTACGTTGTGCGGTCTCTAGGTACTGTGCTGAGGGGTTACCAGGGCACCCCAGCATGCCCTTGACAGAGGCCTTATGTTGAGGGCATTCCCAAGCCACCCCTTATGGTCCTTGATAGTTTGCATTTGCGGTTGTGATGGGGTGTAGCCGGGGACTTTAGGTAGGGAGTGGCTTTTCGCCGCGCGGGCTCCGAGCAGAAGTTGTTCCCAAAACAGTCGAGAAGCTTCGCATTTTGGTGGCACGACGCAGAACGAAATGCCAATCACAAACCAAGAAAGCCTTCAACAGATTCTATCTAAACCTCAAAGGATCCCTATAATATAGGAACCTCAATAATTACCTATACTCTTTTGGGGGTTCCGTATTATAATTATAGTATAATATATCCCCAAAACCTATTCTAATCATTCAGGCCCTACATTTCCAAAGAAGCCCTCAACTGCCAAATCCTAAGTACACACCCTTTGGGCCCCTCTTCGTCTAGGACATTCTAAGGTGGGTAGTAATCCTTATAGGAGCCTTATAGAAGGTCGATATACCTTACCCTAAACTCCCCACCTGTAGTTTCCTTTAAAATAAGGCACCCTAAACCCTAAACCCCTTAAACCCTAAAACCCCAAAACCCTAAACCCTAAACTCCCCACCTGTAGTTTCCTTTAATTTGGGCCCCTCTTTGAAGCAGCTCCCGCAGGCAGCCCTGAAAAGTGCCACGCTTTTTGGCTTCACTCCCCTGGCCCTCGCGGTCCAGCAAAAGGGCGCTCCACTCTCCGAGGAGCTTACAGGGTTTAGGGGCTTCGGGTTTAGGGTTTAGGGTTCAGGGTTTGGGGTTAAGGGTTCAGGGTTCAGGGTTTAGGGTTTCGGGTTTACGGTTCCGGTTTGGGGTCTGTGGTTCTTTGGCCCATGCTGTGTACCTTGTAAACACCCCTAAACCCTCAACCCTACTAAACGCGAACCCTAAACCCTACCCTAAATCCTACTAAGCCCTAAACCCTAAACCCTACTAAACCCTAAACCGAAACCCTACCCCTGTTGATAGGGCTGGGAGCCTAAGCCCGTGTTGAAGACGGTCTGGGGATTTCACTCAACGGTTCAGTGGGGGGGCGGGGGGCGGGGGCGATGCGGTGTTGACCCCAAGCCGTGGTCCTAGTCCTGGACTGTAAAACTGTTGCTTCTCATCCTTCCCTTTGCCGGTCTGCAGGTTCCGCTGGGGTCTAGGGTTTAGGGTTCCTAAACACTAACCCTTAAACAGCCTAAGCCCTAAACCCTAGACCCCTATAAACATCCTTGAACCACAAGCCAAGCTTCTGTGGTTTGTTTCTCTGTTCCAGTCTCGGGTTCGCTGTCCGAAGTTGGCTGGGAAGTTCTTCTCAGGGCCTGTAGCTCCCAAAATCTAAACTTTCACATCATACGGGGCCTGAATCCTTATTTAACCAACACCAATCCTTGAGGCTCCTGTTTAAAACTGCATGTGTGTATACATATGTGTATATA